CACAGACAATTTTCTGTCTTAGGCTTTAGTATCCATTTTGAACTTCAAATACCAAATTTGAAATAATTCCGGTGAATAATGTCGCTAAAATCAACAAAGCGCCGAGTATCGGAGGGTACCGTTATATGGGGGCTATACGAAGACGTGGACCTACATGACCGATTTTCTGTCCTAGGCTGTAGTACCCATTACGGACAACAAATACCAAATTTAAAACAATTCCGGTGAATAATGTCGCTAAAATCATCAAAATTCCGAATATCGGTAGGTACCGTTATATGGGGGCTATATGAAAACGTGGACCTACATGACACATTTTCAATACCAAAAGTCCTGCAGACATAATATACATTTGAGTAAAGTTTTATTAACCTACTTCATTTCGTTCGGAAGCTAGAGTGATTTCCACTAACGGACAGACGGATATACGGACGGACATTGATAAATCGACATAGAATTTGATGCAGATCAAGAATACATATACTTTGTGGGGTCTAAAATGTATATTTCGAGGTGTTACAAACGGAATGACAAACTTAATACACCATCCATACTATGGTGAAGGGTATAAAAATATTACAAAATATACACTTCAATATTTTAAGTCAAATTGAAAAAATCGCATGCGATAAAAATATGAAAAATTGAAAAAATGAAAAAAATGCCACAAAATACTGCCAACAGGGCATTCTGAATTGACAAAATTTGTCAAAATCGGTTCAGCCATTCTTGAGAGACAAACATTCTAGCTAACATCCCCTTCCTTTGTATATACATATTGTATATATTTCGCTATATATATCCGGTATATTTACTATCGGCATCTACGTAACGGTCAGAATTGACCTGTTCGTCTATTTGTGATTTCGCCGGGATTAAAAATATTTGCAGTTTAAGGGAAAATTTGACTTTTATATGACACAAATATTATGGTCTATTTTACCCACTAAATATTACCCGATGACCATCAAAATTGGAAGGCTTCTGCCCAGCCCTAAGCTCTAGCCCCATGCTAACTTCCGCTTCGATTGGTCCATAATTGCGACCTGTAGATCAACTGTTAAATCGGGAAATTTTTCAGTTTTAGGTCTATTTCAACCCCTAAATATTATATGACCATCTCCAAAAGCAGTATGCTTCTATTCTGGTTCTAGCCCCTCCTCCATTCTAAATTTTGTGAAGGTCGGGCCATAATTGCGACCTGTAGAGTGATTACAAATTAAAATGGACAGACGGACGGACGGACATACCCAGCTAGATCGACTCAGCTCGGCGAGATAGGAAGATCCATATATACTTTCCTATGTGGGAAAGCAATATTTCGAGGTGTTACATAACTTTTGGTCCAACCAAACTTATAATACCCCCAACACATATTGTTGTAGGGTATAAACAATATCATACCAAAGGTGTTTCATACAATGAGTTGGAATTTCTTCTACAGTTTTCATAAATTTTGCTATGAAACAAACCTTGGGCGTTTGAGGTGGACATTGATGGTTTTTGTAGATTCAAAAAGAAAAAAAGATCACTGAGAAAAATCTGCCCACATGATAGTGACTGACATTGTTCAATCTTCACACATGTTGGTGTAAACTTTACCAAGCCAATGTTGCAGCCAACAACATAAGTTCAATGCATTCCTTCACGCATTAGTTTTACAACATCGTTGATGTGTGTTTATGTTCGTGAGCATTAATGTATGTATGTATGTATGTAACTTTTTGTCATTTACCTTGAAAAGAAAATCCGAAAACAAAACAAAGAAAAAATGTCCTTATGTCACCTGGCTGATTGAGTGAATTTTTCCGTAATGGCAATTTTTTTGTTGCATGTCAAACATTCGTTAGGCGAAAGTCTTTTGTTGTTTCGCTTGTAACATCTGCATGTACATACCGTGTCTATTGTGAATTGCTAAGGTTCAATGATATGGAAAGGATTTAAAAGTATGGTGTTTTATGAGAAAAAAGAAAAAAATAAATTATTAAAAAAGTAGTAAGTATAGTACCGAAACAAATTGGAAAAATATCTCCTATTAAAGCTCTGCTATTCCTTAAAACCCAGCCGGATTTATAAGTGATATAGCTTTAAAAGAATATTTTTTAGGAATTCTTTTACAGGTCTGATGGACTAACAAGCAACAAAAAATATGCCCAAAGATCCGATACTACTTAAAAAACAAAACCCCAATCGTAACTTCAGCAGTCTTTCAAAAATCGTAGATGGTCTAAAAGTTATATTTTCGTATAAAGATTCTGTGCTATCCACAGTGGTCCCACGTGTATGGGAAGGCGTAAAAAAGCAATTTAAAAACTATCAGTCTGTTTTGCCTACAGATGTATACCCCCAGCCAATGTTTGACTATTTAAATATAATTTGACTTCTGTTATGATCATTCATAGTTTAGTTTCAGAAGGAATGGTCCACGGACCTAAATAAATATTATATAAATATTGCGACAGACCAGATTTAGACTATATTGGTTACCTCCTCCACTTTATGTGAGATATTTCATAATTTTTAGAAAATATTAAAAAGTGCCTGAGGTACCAGACATAGTCGAACGTAGTATCCCATTTTCATATTTCATCTAATACAGATAAAATTTTGGTATGAGCAAAATTACAAAAAAATAGATCATCATGCGAAATCATAAATTTCATATTCACCTCATGTTTCTGGTTAAGAGAAAAATTTAGATACAGCACAGATGACCCTTTGAAAATTGTGATACTTTGTGGGTGAGGTACCAGAAGTGGTTCGCAGATTTATATCAACCTTACAATAGACCTTGTGTTAGCAAAAATGTTTGTATGTGTGAAATTTGAAGAGAGTTGGATGCTTATTTCGGAGTTTATTATCGTTCTGATTATACAAAATGTTGATCCTTTGTGGGAGAGGTACCAGAAGAAATGGTCCGATCTCTATCATCTTTATTACATATCACGTGTTGATGGAAATATTGAGATGTACCAAGTCCGAATGGAATCCGATCTTAATTTCACGTTTTATGAGCTTCATGGAAGAAGCAGTGGACCGAGTGGACTTATGGTCTAAAAACTTTATTTCAATAAGAAACGTTTTGGTCGTCTCATATGATATACAGGGTGAGATAAAAAAACTGCAACAAAGTCAAACGCCATAATTTTTATAATTTTTTTAAACTTTATTGGATAAAAACAAAAAAATTTCGAAAATAGCATCACATTTTAGAATAAGTTTAGGTTTGTTCGAATTGGTCACCTTTGGCGCTATTTATGGCCTTCAAACGGCCCATTAAACCGTCGCACTCTGCTCGAATGTTGCCCGGCGGAGCGCTTGCTTGAGGTGATCGGCACTTTGGTATATTTTAGTGCCAACCTTGCTTTCCAAAATACTCCAGACACAACTGTCCAATGAATTGGTATCCGGAGATTTTGGAGGCCATTGTGCGCAGGAAATGAAGCGATGAACCTCATTTTGTAACCATTCTTGAGTCATGTTGGAATGTCTAAGGTCTGCGGCCGAAATGTTTGCGTGCCCAAGGCTTTAATGCACCCTCCAGAATATTTTCGCGATAATATTCGGCATTTATTCTGATGCCACGATCTATTAATACGAGCGGAGAGCGACAATCGGCTGTTATGGCGGCCTAAACATTATCACCATGGCCGTAGGTGCACATTTTCAGCTGACCTCTTTGGCAAGTAAACACGATCATTTGTTTGTTTACAAACTGCTGGGCAACGAAATTTTATTTACATTTAAATGCTGTAGTGCTCTATAATAGCCACTTGTGGTTTTCCACCCAAATATAAAGAAATCACACTATCACGCTTGAATTCCATCACGAATAACTTTTTTTCTGGGAAATTCTCCCCAAAATGCTTTTGCACGCTTGTAAGCAATATAATTAGCTGTCACTGGAATATTTTTAACAGCTGTCGAACGAGTCGCTTAGAAATGACAGCAGTCTGAAGTTGGTTGCAGTTTTTTCATCTCACCCTGAATAATTTAATATTTCCACAAATACCTCAATATCTCAATCTCAATATCAAATTTGAGAATCCCAACCCTATCCCTTCACCCAATACCAAATGTAGTACTTTCCGAAGAAAAATGGTATGCATTTTAAAATTAATCTCCATATCTCAATCTCAAACTGATCAACATCAAATGTGATTTCCAGGATTTCAGCGCTATTCTTTCGCTCAATACAACATTTTGTACGATTTTGTACAACTATAGTACATTTTGTACAACTATAGTACAGGACGCCAACAGTGACCTTCATTTCAAATTTCAGGATCTAAGCTATATTCCTTCATGCAATACCAAATGTAGAATTTAGTACTTTTCGTCTCAATCCCAGATGCCAACACAGACTTCGATATCAAATTTCGAGATTTCAGCCCTGTAAATTTAGGACGAATTTCAAAGCTACCGCCCAATCTCAAACACAGATAACATCAGTAATCTAAATGTCAAATTTCAGAATTTTATATCTATATATTCACCCAATTCCAAATATAGTACCATTTAGTTCCATTTCATGGAATTATAATATACATTTCCGAAACCACCTACAGGCTATACATGAACAGCTATCTTAATTCCATATTTCAGATTTTAAGTTCTGTCTGTTCCCCCAATACTAAATTGTACCAATTATAGTACTATTTAGTACTTTTCGTGCACTTGTAGTACACATATCCAAAAGCTCCTATTCATCACAAACCAACAGGGACCCCAATACAACAATATCCGATTTTATGACTATGTTTCTGATATTTCTTAAAATAATTTAGATTTTTTTAATTCTCCATTTTGAATATAATATTTATATCTTCAAAATGTATTTTAACAAATACACTATTTTGCATTTCATAGACCTTCAAATATATTTAAAAATATTCTTGTAATCATTTTATTATTAATAATTATAACAATTATTACTTTATTAGACCTCAAACCAATTTTTTTTAATATTTTATTTCTTTTTTCTCTCCCCCCTTTTACAGAATTTCAAAGAAAAAGACTCAGGCAAAGTTGTGCTGTACACCACGAGTATGGGCATTATACGCGACACCTATGCAAAATGTTCGAATGTCAAGAAAATCCTCAGAACGCTGCTGGTCAAATTCGAGGAACGTGATGTCTTCATGAGCGTCGAATATCAGCAGGAAATCAAAGAGAGAATGCATTCGGAAATTATAAAAGTACCTCAACTATTTGTCGAAGGCCAACATATTGGTGTAAGTATATAAACCGAAATAAGTATAAACCGCAGTTGTTGTTGTTTTTATATTTTTACATTTTTATTGGCTGATTTTCCCACCGAATCTCTGAGACAAATATGACATTTGACTGGCATCACATTTTTGGGGGAATTATTATTTTTTTTCATTAGTTTCTTGTTGGTGTAATACCTCCCAATCTAAAAGCACCTAAGCGACAATAATACCTGACATAATGATGGAAAATTGCAATGTGGCCAGAAGTCTTATTGGTGGTTAGGAAGCTGGCTCTTATGAGCACTACTGAGATAAAACAGAACAGATGACTTGAATTTGCCACTTTTTTGTCGCTTTTTATTCGATGGAAAAAAAAAAGATGTGTTGAACATTGTGTAAAATATTTTAAGGTTATCTATGAACATGGTCGACTGTTTAAGTGCTCTACATATCTTTCTTTCAGCTGGGAGTCTTTATCGACGAGCTTTATCGATTAGATAGGTAAAGGGAAGGTAGATGAAGTTTTTCTAGACGCACTGCAGAGGGAGTCATTGAGGACGAACGGGACTGAGTCTTCCTAGACGAGATGAAGAGGGAGACGAGCTGAGGTGAATCTTTATAGACGAGCTGGACTGAGTTTTTTATAGACAAGCTGGGATGAGTCTTTCTAGACGAGCTTGAGTCTTTCTAGTCGAGTTGGAGAGGGAGTATTTATAGACGATCTGCGGTGAACTTTTATGGACGAGCTGGAGAGAGTCTTTATAGCCGAGCTGGAGGGAGTCTTTTTAGACGAGCTGGGATGAGTCTTTATAAACGAGCTGGGGGAGTCTTTTTAGTTGGGTAGAGTCTTTTTAGGCGAGCTGGAGGGAGTCTTTTTAGACGAGCTGGAGGGAGTCTTTTTAGACGAGCTGGAGGGAGTCTTTTTAGTTGGGGAGAGTCTTTTTAGGCGAGCTGGAGGGAGTCTTTTTAGACGAGCTGGAGGGAGTCTTTTTAGACGAGCTGGAGGGAGTCTTTTTAGACGAGCTGGAGGGAGTCTTTTTAGACGAGCTGGAGGGAGTCTTTTTAGACGAGCTGGAGGGAGTCTTTTTAGACGAGCTGAAGGGAGTCTTTTTAGACGAGTTGAAGGGAGTCTTTTTAGACGAGTTGAAGGGAGTCTTTTTAGACGAGTTGAAGGGATTCTTTTTAGACGAGCTGGAGGGAGTCTTTTTAGACCAGCTGGTGGTCGTCCCCTATAGTCCCCTATAGACCACCTGGTGGTCGTCCCCTATAGACCACCTGGTGGTCGTCCCCTATAGACCAGCTGGTGATCGTCCCCTATAGACCAGCTGGACAGAGAGTCTCTATACACCAGCTGGTGGTCGTCCCCTATAGACCAGCTGGACGGAGAGAGTCTCTATAGACCAGCTGGACGGAGAGAGTCTCTATAGACCAGCTGGTGGTCGTCCCTATAGACCACCTGGACGGAGAGAGTCTCTATATACCACCTGGACGGAGAGAGTGTCTATAGACGAGAGAGTCTCCAGCTGGGGTGAGTTTTGGTCGTCCTTATAGACCAGCTGGTGGTCGTCCCCTATAGACCACCTGGTGATCGTCCCCTATAGACCACCTGGTGATCGTCCCCTATAGACCAGCTGGACGGAGAGTCTCTATACACCAGCTGGTGGTCGTCCCTATAGACCACCTGGACGTAGAGAGTCTCTATAGACCACCTGGACGGAGAGAGTCTCTATAGACCACCTGTACGGAGAGAGTCTCTATAGACGAGAGAGTCTCCACAGGCGAGCTGGAGATAGAGTCTCCATAGACGAACTAGAGAGAGAGTCTCCATAGACGAGAGAGTCTCCACAGACGAGCAGGGGAGAGAGTCTCCATAGAAGAGCTGGCGAAAGAGTCCCCATAGATAAGTCTCCATAGCAGAGTTAGAAAGGAGTCCATAGAACAGTTTTAGAGTCTCTCTATAGACTATTTCTTGACCGGCTGTAAAAATTTTAGTATAGTTTGTTTGGCAAAGTAAATAGAATTTTTAGAGACGTGGAGATCTTTAAAAGTATGACAGTTTTAATTGTCAAGGTGGATATAACCTTTCGAGCAAAATAAACTGGAACATCTTTATCCCCTCTTTATACCCGATCTATAGTAAATCGATATTAACAGCTTCTTATCAGCATTTTTCCCAAAATCTAAATTTCAAAACATTCTCTGATGTGAGTAGTCAACACCCATTGGCGACCTGATCTCTATTCCAAGCTTTCCCCTCTTCATTCATAAATTTCTGGTTTCGTTGGTTGTCGTAAATGTTTGCGGTTGTTGCTTTTTTCCTTTATCTTATCTGGCATATGTATGTTATTTTCTTACAACATTGTATGATTTGGAGAGGCTGTAATAATGTGATTTATCGGTTGCAGTTGCCTTTCCTCTTCGTTGCGTTTTTTTTTTTTTTTGTTGCTAAAAGCGGGTTTATTTTCGGTAAGAGGCTTTGTTGTTTGTTGGCAATTTAGTAAGCTATAAACCATTTTACCACATTCGGTTTGGGGTTTTGTTTTTATTTCTTTCTGGCTTCTTCATCTCCACATCAGCCAATGCAGTGTGTGTGTTATTATGATGCACTTTGTTGTCGACTCTCTCACAGTCCGACATGTGTGTGCATGACGGTGATTATCGTCGGTTGGTGCGACCACCGAGACCGACAACAATTGTTGCAACTTCATCATGAGGTTGCATTCGTAATTTAGAGGATTTACATTTTCAAGTTGCTGATTTTTTCTCATCAGTGTTGTTTTTTTCATGGGAGGTATAGGAGGAGAGATGTGCAGGGGGGGGGTCTGAGGGCATAATTTTGTCTTTGCCGTTGATGATTATTGTTATTATTTAACGGTTAAACAACAAACAAACAAACTGTCAAACATGTAAAGAAACAATCGCAAAGTTTATGTGCGAGTATCTGAGCAGTGTGGAATAGCGAAAATGGGATGAGAAAATGGGGTTAATCTTAGAAAATGTTTAATTTAGGTACTTCATATGGGTCACACAGTTGGATCGAATGCGACTCTATTACAAAATAAATTTGAAGAAGAAGTTGTACTGTACTGTTGATAAAATTGAGATTTCTGATTGAAGTATTTTTCTACAGAAGATATTAAAAGGTTCTGCTATCCTAAGAATTTCTGTTGAGGGCAATCAAAGCAAATAATGTTTTTTTTTTAATATTGAAGGTCGTCTTCAATTTGAAGGTTTTCCAGATATAAAAGGGTTTTGAGTATTTATAGACGAGTTGGGCAAAGTCCTTTTAAACGAGCTATGTCATTATGGATGAGCTGGGCTGAGTCTTTATAGATGAGCTGGTCCGAGTCTTTTTAGACGAGCTGAGTCTTTATAGACGAGCTGAGCTGAGTCTTTATAGACGAGCTGTGCTGAGTCTTTTTAGACAAGCATGCGAGAGAGTCTCTATAGCCGAAATGGAAAGGGATCCTTAATAGACGAGCTAGTGAGAGAATCTCCCAAGACGAACTGGAGAGTGAGTCTCCATAGACGACCTGGATAGAAGGTCTTTATAGGCAAGCTGGAGAGAAGGTTTAAATATACAAAAGACCACTTGATTGTTATATCCTCCACCTAGAAAAGGAAAGTATATTAAATTTGTCCTTCCGTTTGTAACATCCCTAAATATACGTCGTAGACCAAATAAAGTATATACAGAGTGAGATAATAAAACTGCAACAGAGTCAAACGACATAATTTTTAAACTTTTTTAATTTTCTTTGAGTTTAGTTTAGATTTGTTTGAATTGGTCACCTTTGGCACGAATTATGGCCTTCAAACGGTCAATGAAACCGTCACACGCTTCCCGAATGTTGTTCTGCGGTATTTTGGCCCATTCCCGGCGAAGCGCTAGCTTGAGGTGATCGATACTTTGGTGCCAACATTGCTTTCCAAATTACTCCAGATACAATAGTCCGACGAATTGGTATCCGGAGATTTTGGTGGCCATTGTGTGCTGGAAATGAAGCGAGGATCCTCATTTTGTAACCATTCTTGGGTGGCGCGTGCTGAGTGCGATGGGGCTGATTCCTCTAGGAATGTCCAAGGTCTGCGACCAAAATGTTTGCGTGTCCAAGGCTATAATACACCCTCCAGAATATTTTCGCGATAATATTCGGCATTTATTCTGATTCGGCATTTTTCGATTAATACGAGCGGAGAGCTACCATCGGCTGTTATGGCGACCCATGGCGGCGCTTGAGTTCTGGTGGCCAACCGAAGGTGCACATTTTCAGCTGACCTGACATCTTTGGGAAGTAGACACAATCATTTCGTTTGTTTACAAACTGCTGAACAACGAATGTTTTCTCATCGGAGAAACCCAAATTCGGCAGTTCACCACTTTCGCCCAAGCGAAGCAACACTTTAGCTCTTTTGAGTCTATTTTCTTTCTGTTGCGGTGTAAGTTCTTGCACTTTTGGAATTACAATGGCTTTACCCTTCATTTTTCAATATTTGCCGAATGGAATATTATGATATGTTCAGCTCACGAGTCATTTTTCGGCCATTGCGACGCATGTTTCGATAAAGTCGCTTCTTTACTTTTCGAACCCTTTCTGCTGATGTTGCTATATTCTTCCGTCCACTTCCTTGACGTCGGGCTACGCTACCAGTATCACGGTAACGAGCGATGGTAAGAGACACAAAAGATTTATTCGCATTTAAGTGCTGGAGTGCTCTAACGATAGCCACTTGTGGTTTTCCAGCCAAATATAAAGAAATCACGCTATCACGCTTGAATTCCATGACGAATAACTTATTTTCTGGAAAATTCTCACCAAAATGCTTTTGTAAGCTTGTAAACAATATAATGAGCTGTCACTGGAATAATTTTAACAGCTGTCGGACGAGTGGCTTAGAAATGACAGCAGTCTGAAATTGGTTGCAGTTTTTTCATCTCACCATGTATATTCATGATCAGCATAAAATTGGTTGGTATTGAAAATAAGATATATCGGTTAACGTTTTTGTATAGCCTCCAA